CCACATAGCATGAGTAAACAATATTNTCCCCCACCACCATTTTGGTCGACTGAGGGGTGTTTTTTCGTCCCTAAATTTAATTAAGCTTTTCTCAATTCCCACTAATTTATATATATATATATATAAATTATGGGGGATTACAGGCTTTTACACTTCAAGAAATAGTTAGTGGTTTTCTAATGTGTAAGTAGGAATGAAAGCTTAAACTGTTCGCTGTAGCTCAGGTGATGCTACCGCTGCGACCCCAACCCTACTCCTAAGATTGTTCTTTATATATTTGTATATATTTGTATAATTAATGATGTAGCTTTCTTGGAATAAGTTTAACTTGGGTTGATAAGCAATTGTTTCTCTCTATTTGTTTTGATAAGCAATTATCTTTGTGAAGAGAGAAAGAAAGAGTTCACTATAGATACTAGAGAGAGAGAGTTCACTCTAGGTACTTTATGGGTTCATATGCAGCCACAATACCAAGAATGTTTTCTATGAGACTCTGTCTTAATGAATATTTTGGGACTTTTTATGAATAATGTCTAGTACCTTCTAACTTTGTTAAAAGGAAAAATACATGGACCACATAGGCATGGAGTAAAACAATATTCTCCCCCACCACCATTTTGGCCACTGAGGGGTGTTTTTTCGCCCTAAATTTAATAAGCTTTTCTCAATTCCCATAAAGAAGTTTGTATCAAATTAAAAAAAAAAAAAAAAAAAATTGAAAGTGGCCTTTTTTACTAAATAGTATATAAAGTTAATATGGGTAATTTATTTTAGGAAAGACCAAATTTGTTTGATTCGATGCTCTAGGGGATTGGTTTAACCATAGATTTCTTTATTAGCACTAAATGAATAATTTAAAAAAGGAAAAAAATTGTTTTATGAATTTTTAAAAGGCTAGTGGTGGCTACCCATGAAATGGGCAGTCTACGCTAATTGAGTTTAATTAACAATTTTATAGGCTTTTAATTTTGGGAAAAAAAATTATATAAGTGCAAGGCTGTAGATAATTAAATTAGGGCGTATCTCAAAAATTTACGAGAAGATTTGTTTTGATGTTCCAATATCCTCAAATTGATCATCTTGACCTCAAGATGCATGAACATGAGAAACAAATATATTTCAAGTTTTGGAAATAGTGCATCTTGTAATACATTTTTGGACCGTCAATTTTCAAGATTTTCATAGATATGCTCCATTTACACTATTTTTTAAGCTTTAAATTTTATAATTAGAGATGAAAATATATTTTAAGGCCATCACAAAGATTCCCAGTATTGAAATCACATTTCTCGACACCACAAATTGAAGCTTTGAGGATCAAAATAGATACATCAATTTGATTGGAAATTCGATCACGATCAAGCTTTTTGGGTATACAGTACCTTGCAAAATCGACCTAGAATTCGTGTTTAATCAGATAAATAAACTTCATGATCTTGGGAAGAAAATTATTTGCTTCAAAAAAGCC